TAATCTACCAAGAATATTTATTTTTGCTTTCTATTTATACATTTTTGAATTCATTAAAACTAGCATTTAAAGTTAACTAAGCAATAAATTACTTCGGCCAATAACCCATGCAATGTGAAACCAATCGAGGTGTTTCTTTATTTAGGCTATTGGCCTGCATAAGGCAAACAATAATTATATAGGTCAGTTATATGCTGACATAGAATAAAATAATAATAAAAACAAAATTAAAAAATGTGTTAGTAAAATATGTTCTTTTGAACAATTCCCTCTACCATTGTATAGTCCGCATATAGTAGTGCCTCTTTATTTTCGATATTTCACTGATTGCAGTCTCAATGAATTTTGCATTTTGAGTTTTCATTGGACGGATTATTGTCAAATGAAAGAAGTAGGTACACGTTTTGATCTGAGACCCTTACAGCTGATTTGGTCATTTTTGTTTGTTTGAATGTGTTCTCATCTTCCAGCTGAAGTACGATGTTGGACCTGTGGTTGGAAAGCTAGATGCCAATTCTAGTCAGGAGAGATCGTATTGTGCACTCATTTCATATTCTCCATTTCGCATACAGAATTAAAAGCAAAAAAAACAAAACAATAACAAATGTAAACTTCAATATAGAATGTCAAAATAAAAAAAAAAATTGATGCGCTATAAAGATATTTCGAAAAATTAAAAAAAAAACATTTTTTGGATTTATCGTTTTCAAGAAATCATTCCGAAACGGTTTGAATTGTCAAAATCAGGCCACCGTTCTTATGGTGAAAATGATTCTTTATTTTGTTCACAAAAAGCATTGAATTCAATATGATAAGCCATATTGAAAAACTTACATTATATAAAATTGATAGAAAAGAAAAAATCTTTGTCAATAGAATGTACTATTATTTTGAAATTCGATTCCATTGAAAATTTTGTCTCGATTTCTTTGCCCAATTACATAATTTCTGCAATGAGATAGTCTTTTTTTGATTTTTTTAGTTAAATTATTAACTAAATTATTTCGATATCATCAAAAAAAAAAAATGATATTTTTCGTTCATAGCTTATCCTCTTACCCAATAAATACATAAAATTTATAAATAATAGTATTGTCCGTTGTCGCTTTATACTCTCCAAAAGACTACAAATCATATTAGAAAACAAGTAAAAAAGCAGTAAGTTCGGCCGGGCCGGGAACTTTGAATACCCTCCACCATTTGGAACGAATTAGAAAATATTCAAAAAAATAAAATCCATTGAAAATTCTGTTAAAATCTTTAAAATACCTAATATCGGAAGGTGCCGATATATGGGGGGATATACGCTATTGTGGACCTATATAGACAAATCTATGTCTGGGGGTAAAGTACTCACAAGGAACTCCTTGTGTGGATTTTCAGATAATTCCATTGGGAAATGTGGCTAAAATCATCAAAATCCCGAATATCGGGGGTACCGTTATATGGGGGATATACGATATCGTGGACCTGTATAGACAATTCTCTTTCAGGGGGTAAAGTACTCACAAGGAACTACTTGTGTGGATTTTAAGACAATTCCATTGAAAAATGTGGCTAACATATTCAAAATACCGAATATCGGGGGGTACAGTTATATGGGGGATATACGATATCGTGGACCTATATAGACAATTCTTTTTGAGGGGGTAAAATGCCTACAAGGGACTCCTTTTGTGGAATTTCATTGAAAAATGTGGATAAAATAATCAAAATACCAAATATCAGGGGTACCATTATATGGGGGCTATACGATATCATGGACCTATATAGATAATTCTCTGCCGAGGTATAAAGTACCCACAAGGAACTCCTTGTGTGGATTTTCAGACAATTCCGTTGAAGAATGTGGCTAAAATCATCAAAATACCGAATATCGGGGGTACCGTTATATGGGGGCTAAACGATATCGTGGACCGATATACCCCATCTTCGAACTTGACCTGCCTGCAGACAAAAGAGAGATCTGTGCAAAATTTTAGCTTCCTATCTGAATTCGTTTAGACTGTAGCGTGATTACAACAGACGGACAGACGGACGGACAGGGCTAAATCGTCTTAGAATTTTACGCTGATCAAGAATATATATACTTTGTTGGGTCTAAAATGATTATTTCGATGATTTACAAACGGAATGACGAACTTAATATACCCTCCATACCTTTTTTGGTGGAGGGTATAACAAGTAAGCAAAGGCTATAGTCGTGCGAAGCCGACCATGTGATACCCTACAACACTACAATATGTTAGAAGCCCTCTTATGTACAAATCCATTTTTGAAGATTTCGCTTTTGATATTATGTTACGGACCACTGCACAGATATTACCCTTAGCTTTTTGAATAGGGACATTTGCCCAATATTTACGCATTCCGTCGTGCTGTTAGTTGTTGTGGTCCAGTTTACAGCTAAATATAATCCAATAGTCATCCGAAATGCTAGAATTCTTCCCTGTCCTTAACTCTCTTCTTAGGCGTGTCGATTGGCTTCAATTGTGTTTAACAAGAAATTTTTTCTGTATTTGGTTCATTGAACCGCTAAATATTTTGCGATCACCTCCAAAAGCAAGAGGCCCCTCTCTATCACCAAATTTAGACTTATATATATGATTTGCTTGTTTACGATATTTGGCTATATTCGTCAGCGAAATCAGCATAAAAAACCAGAAGTTCGCCTTTTGTGCATTTCGGATATCGCCTGTAAGTAATGCTGATATTCTTTCACACTAAAGTAGTGGTCCATTCTACTTGCTTTCCTAAACTCAAACGTCATGCGAAATTTCGAGTCTTTTGGTTTCTATTTGTGATCTTTATAACGGCTGCACAATCAGGAATATTTTTAGTTGTTATATTGCGGACATCGTCGAAAACAATAGGTCTAGCCCTTTTGAACCAAACCCTACCCTTGTGACAATTTTCGTGAAGATCGGACGATAATTGCAATCTGTATATAATAACCCCAACCTGTGTTGTAAAGTGAAAAAATATTACAAAATGTACAATTCAATATTATAAGTCAAATTAAAAAAATCGCATGCGATAAAATATATGAAAAAATAAAAAATGTCGCAAAATACTACAAAATTTATTTAACATCATTATTGGCATCTTTTTATGAATTTTTTTAGATTTTATACTTTTATGCCAAAAGGGCATTCTGAATAGACAAAAATTGTCAAAATCGGTTCAGCCATTCTTGAGATATAAGCATTCTAACACCCCCTTCCTTTTTATACCCTCCACCTTGGAAAGGAGGGTATATTAACTTTGTCATTCCGTTTGTAACATCCTTAAATATTCGTCCCCATAAAGTATATATATTCATAATCAGCATAAAATTCTAAGTCGATTTAACGGTGTCCGTCTGTCTGTCCGTGTGTCTGTCTGTCCGTCTGTCTGTTGAAATCACGATACAGCCCACATTATTTGACGTAGAGCGCCAAAATTTAGCAGAGCTATTTGTATTGTGTCTAGGATGGTTGGTATTGAAAATGAGATATATCGGTCCACGTTCTGGTATAGTCCCCATATAACGGTACCTCCCGATATTTGGTATTTTGATTATTTATGCCACATTTTTTTACGGATTTGTCTAAAAATTGGTACTTGTAGGTCATAATGGGTCCCTGTGCGTGTGGCAAAACATTGCATGTATGGGTCCACGTTTTGGTTTAGCCCCCATATAAAGGTACCTCCCGATATTCGCTATTTTAATTTTTTTTGCCACATTTTTTCACGGATTTGTCTAAAAATTGGTATTTGTTGGTCATAATGGGTTCCAGCTCCGGTGGCGAAACATTGCATGTATGGGTCCATGATTTGGTATTGCCCCCATTTAACGGTACCTCCCAACATTCGGTATTTTGATGGTTTTTGCCACATTTTTTCACTGATTTGTCTAAAAATTGGTATTTGTGGGTCATAATGGGTTCTAGTTCGTGTGGCGGAACATTGTATGTATAGGTCCACGTTCTAGTATAGTCCCCATATAACGGTACCTCCCGACATTCGGTAATTTGATGATTTTTGCCACATTTTTTTACGGATTTGTCTGAAAATTGGTATTTGTAGTTATAATGGGTTCTAGCTCCATTGGCGAAACTTTGTATGTGTAGGTCCATGATATGATATAGCCCCCATATAACGGTACCTCCCGATATTCGGTATTTTGATGGTTTTTGCCACATTTCTTCTAATGTATCCTTTACCCTAAGCTGGAGGGTATTAAAAGTTTGGCCCGGCCGAACTTAATGTTTTTTTTTTTTACTTGTTATATATACATTGTATATGTTTCGCTTTATATATCCGATATATTTACTATCGGCATTTACGTAACGGTCAGGATTGACCTGTTCGTCTATTTGTTATATCGCCAGGATGAAAAATATTCGCGGATTAATGGAAAATTTGACTGTTATTTAACACAAATTTATGGTCTATATAACCCGATGACCATCAAAATTGGAAGGCTTCTGCCCAGCCCTAAGCTCTAGCCACATGAGATAGGAAGATCCAAATATTCTTTCCTATGTGGGAAACCAATATTTCGACGTGTTACATAATTTTTGCCCAATCAAACTTATTATACCCCCAACACATAGTGTTGCAGGGTATAAACGCTACACAGAGCCGAAAATACAATGACTTTTTTAACCATGTGCATGGTTAATTTTTTCATGGTAAATGTTTGAGATTACAAACACAAAATAACGTTATATAAGGTCAAATGTAGATGAAAAATAGTTTAATTAATGTTGTATAAGGTTGTTGTTTTTTGAGAGAGACGGAAAAATGTGAGAGATACATAAAAATTTAAAGAGCCTTCGGCTCTGTTGTGGTCAACAATATTGAACTGCTTTGTGTTTGACGAAGTTCAATATTACAATATACGAAGTTGCAACGAATGTGACTGTCATATTCCCCCTCCTCCTCTTTATCGAATCTCTTTCTGTGGTCTGAATATGTGTAAGAAAGATCAAATAGACAATCACTTCTTTAGTTGGTATTGAATAGTGCAAGGGAGTAGTGCAGGTGCTCGTGGGAATAGTGCTTGGTATAAAGGTAAGTAAAAGCTGGTCAAATTAACAAATATATTTGATTGTAATTTGTATTTGTTTTAATAGAAAACCCTGATACTATTTCAACATAGTAATGTGTTATTGCTATATTCAAATTGTATCAGATTTGTCTATCAAATAAACTATAAATTACAATAAAGAAACAAAAATAACGGTAATACATGAAAAAAACAAGCAACAACAACGTATATGCAGCGACAAGCAAAAATGAGGAGAGAAATAATGTGTGAGTGTTTATTCATACATATGTGTTCTTTTTGTCTTTGCTTGTGGCTGCTACGACGTACATTAGCGTATGCATTTGTCACCAAATGTACGTTGTTGTTGTTGTTGAAGCGACAGTGTTCATATTTATGTATATCTTTTTGTTTTTTCTTCTCAGTTGTTTTTTTCTCTGGTGTCTTTTTTTTGGGTGCTCGTGCGTACATTTTTGGTAAGTTGTGACAATACTATTTGCTTTTATTAACTACTAGTTTCTTCTTCTGTTTTTGCAGTCGGTGTTTGGCGTTTTGTAGTTTTTTTTCACAATGGCTGAGGAATATAATTTAAAATCACTCGGTAAGGCGTTAAAAAATAAAATTTATATTAAACATATATCTTTCTTTACCAGCCCTCCCTTAAATATACATACAATTTGTAATGGAAATACATATTTTAGAAATATGCGGTATTAATAAATAAATAATAAATAAACTTGTAAAAATTACATTTTTCTTGTTTTATTCAAACAAAGGTTAATTTATTATTAAAAATTATCATATGAACTGTTTAGACAAACTGACTATGAAATGTTATTATTAACAATTCTCATGGTTACAAAAATTTAACAGTGCATTGTTAAAACAACAATTTTTTTTCAATATCAACAATTTTCGTGGTTAAAAAAGTCAATCATGGAATAGCTAAATTAACGATGATTATTTTTAAATACCAGTCAACAAGAAAATGTTTAAATTAACCTTACATAACGTAGACTCCAAATCATGTTTATTTATGGTTAATCTAACCTTGTATAAGGTTATTTTTTTTCTCTGTGTACAAATGTACATTCGAAAATAGTAATTGAAAGTGGAAAAAAATCATGCAAAGTAAAACATTACTATTGTACATTTCAAAAGTCAAAATGAAAACTTTTAAAATTTCACATTTTACGCGATTTTTTGGATTTTATCCTTTTCTGCCAAGAGACAATCCCAAATTTGTCTCGTGTTTAACACGAGTAGTTTTAGGTGACTCATCTGTAAATATTGTTTTACAGGATACATATTGTGCAGTTGTCCATTTCTACTAGGTTTTGGGAGTCACAGCCAGAGTCGGAGACTGAGTCGAAAAAAACTTTTTACTTAATTTCCCTAATTCGTTTTTTTTTCTTTGCAGATAAAGAAGAAGTAGGAACTAATAGGAAATTTACTTCGTTTTGTCATAATGAATCTCCTGGATTTTTAGGTATGTTAACTACTAAACCAGTTTATATCCTCTACAACGATATTGTTATGCGTTTGTAACACCTCAAAAGCTCATCAGAACTTTACAACGTTTATATGCATTTTTTGATCAGCGTATCTGTTCAAATCTGGATAGAACCAACACTATTTTATGTGTAGTTTTGAAATTTGTTTAAATATTATTACTGTCTAGAATATTGGTTTCCAAAGATCGCGATCCATCTAATAAATACTTAAAAAAATTGCGGCTCTGCTTTTGCTTGCTTAAAAAATAACACATAAATACTGGCAATACCAGTAGAGGAATAGAGGAAAAAAGGTTACATATATAATTATTTTAAAACACTGTTGGCATGTTTGTTCGTATTGTTTGACACCGTAGTATTTTGTTTTAGCAAAATCGTCAGGTTTAATCCCACTATTGTTGTTATACCCTCCACCACAGTATGGCGGGTATATTAAGTTTGTAATTCCGATTGTAACACCTCGAAATATACATTTTAGACCCCACAAAGTATATATATTCTTGATCAGCCAAAAATTCTCTCGATTTAGCAATGTCCGTCCGTCTGTGGAAATCAATCTAGCTTCCCAAGGAAATGAAGTTGGTTGATAACATTTTACTCAAATGCGTATTATGTCTGCAGGACTTTTGGTATTGAAAATGGGTCATGTAGGTCCACGTCTTCGTATAGCCCCCATATAAAGGTACCTCCCAATATGCGACATTTTGATGATTTTAGAGACATTATTTAACGGAACTATTTCAAATTTAGTATTTGAAGTACATAATGAATACTACAGCCTATGACAGAAAATGATCTTTGCGGGTTCACGTCTTCGTATAGCCCTCATATAACAAAACCCCCGATATTCGGTATTTTGATGATTTTAGCGACATTATTTACCGGAATTATTTCACAATTTGTATTTGAAGTTCGAAATGGATACTACAGCCTACATCAGAAAAATGTCTGTGCAGGTCCACGTTTTATAACACACATGATACCTCAATATATTCGGTATTTTGAAGATTTTAGCTACATTATAAAGAGATTTTTTTTCGAGTTTCGCATTTGAATATTGTAATAGCTTGTGACAAAAGTTGCCTATGCAGGTCCACGTCGTCGTATAGACTCTAATATACGGCTACATTCAGTATTTTTAAGATTTTAAGAGAATTTTTAACGGATTTTATTTTTTTTGAAAATTGTCAAATTTTTACCAATCGGTGGAGGGTATTCAAAGTTCGGCCCGGCCGAACTTACTGCTTTTTTACTTGTTTTTATAAAAACAATGTTTGTGTATTAGTGAAGAACGGTGGTAATGTTTACCAGGGGGCAAGACAGGTACTTGATTGTTACATTGAACATAGCCGAAAATCCGGCCTCGCAAACGATTGAAGTAGTAAAGGGGAGGAGATCAGCGTAAAATTCTAAGTCATGTCAGTCTGTCTGTCTGTCTGTAGTAATCACGCTATCTTTCGAACGAATTGAGATAGAAGGCTAAAATTTTAGACACGTGTTTATTTTTCCAGTAGGCAGGTTAAGTTCGTAAATGGGCCATGTAGGTCCACGTTTTCATATAGCCCCCATATAACGGAACCTCCCGATATTTGGTATTTTGATGATTTTAGCGATATTATTCACCGGAATTGTTTCAAATTTGGTATTTAAAGTTCAAAAGGGATACTACAGCCTATGACAGAAAATTATCTTGGCAGGCCCAACGTCTTCGTATAGCCCCCATATAACGGTACCTCCCTATATTCGGTATTTTGATGATATTAACGATATTATTCACCGGAATTGTTTCAAATTTGGTATTTGAGATTCGTAATGAATGCTACAGCCTATGACAGAAAATTGTCTGTGCAGGTCCACGTCTTCGTATAGCCCCCATATAACGGCACCTTCCAAAATTCGGTATTTTGATGATTTTAGCGCCATTATTCACCGGAATTGTTTTAAATTACGTATTTAGAGTTCGTAATGGGAACTACAGTCTGTGACAGAAAAATGTCTATGCAGGTCCAGGTCTTCGTATAGGCCCCATATATCAGTACCTCCCTATATTCGGTATTTTGACGAGTTTAGGTACAATACCCACCGAAATTGTTTGAGATATCGTATTTGACGTTAGTAATGGATGATATAGCCTCTGACAGAAAATTGTCTATGCTGGTCTAGGTCTTCGCACAACTCCGATATAATGGTACATCCCTATATACGATATTTTGATGATTTTAACTACATTATTCACCGTTTATTTCAAGTTTCGAATTTGAATATGGTAATGGCTAATGGCAAACAATGCCTATGTAGGTAAACGTCGTATAGACCCCACAATAACGGCAATATTCTGTATTTTTTAAATTTAACAGAATTTTTAAAGGATTTTGTTTTTTTTTTAAATTTCCGAATTCGTTCCAAATGGTGGAGGGTATTCAAAGTTTGGCCCGGCCGAACTTACTGTTTTTTAACTTGTTTAATTTATTGAATAATATATAATAAGATTAAAATAAATTGTAATTGATAGGTGTCATAATATTTGTGCATTGTCTGTATATGAAAAATGTATAAACATTATTATAGTCCAAAACCGTTTCAGAGACCCAAATTGGACCCATACAGATAATAAGAAGGTCCTAACAGATTGAACTACTGTAGAAGGCTATAAAACCTGCGCGGATCAAACTAGGCTTAAATGAAAGATCTCTCCGAGCACTTTCAGCCCATATATAGGTTATAGTCCAAAACCGTTTCAGAGACCCAAATTGGACCCATCCAGATAATAAGAAGGTCCTAACAGATTGAACTACTGTAGAAGGCTATAAAACCTGCGCGGATCAAACTAGGCTTAAATGAAAGGTCTCTCCGAGCACTTTCAGCCCATATATAGGTTATAGTCCAAAACCGTTTCAGAGACCCAAATTGGACCCATCCAGATAATAAGAAGGTCATAACAGATTGAACCACTGTGCAAAGGCTATAAAACCTGCGCGGACCCACCTTAAAAAGTTCCATGGGACATACACATGCATGCTTCACCAATATTTTTCTTCAACATTTCCTCTTTTATGTTTTATCGCTAAAGTTCTTATTTTATTTTTAATTTCTTTAAATGTTCTACGTCTAAAAAAGTAATAAAACAAAATTCCCGTACCGGGATTCGAACCAACGACCCAACAGATTTCTGCAGAACCACTCAACCGACTCGGCCACTGCACCAGTGCGAGCGCGTTGGCTTAAAGTTATTAACAGCGCCGTACAGTATGAGATCATTTTTGCTGTTGTCAACGTTGATATCAGAACAAAATCGGTAATGGACATTTTATTGATTTAAGAACCTCTCATGCAGTGGGTTGCATATTAGCGTAGGTAGGAGGTAGGTTATTTTTACTATACCTATTTATACTAATAAATGTACGTTAATTTTTATACCCTACACCACAAGGTGGTCAGGGTATTATGTCTTTGTGCATTTGTTTGTAACAGGCAGAAGGAAACGAGATAGACCCATAGTTCCTTTTGATGATCTGCATAGAATCACATTCTGAGTCGATTTATGCATGTCCGTCCGTCCGTCTGTCCGTCCGTCCGTCCGTCTGTCCGTCCGTCCGTCCGTCTGTCCGTCCGTCCGTCCGTCCGTCTGTCCATGTATTTTTGTAAACAAAGTACAGGTCGCATTTATTGCCCGATCCAGATGAAATTTTGCAAAGGTGTTTTGTTTGGCCTAAGGACGAACCCTATTGAAATTGGAGATAATCGGTCAAAATTTGGATATAGCTCCCATATATATCTTCGTCCGATTTGACTTTTATTGTGCACCAAACGTGTAATATCAGCCCGAATTGTATGGAATTTTGCACATACACCCATATTAGGCCTGAAAATATGTATGCCAAATTTGATCGAAATCGGTTCAGATATAGCTATAGCTCCCATATATATTGTTCATCCGATTTGTTATTTTTGTCCACCGCCACCGTAATATGCACTATGCAACAACAATATTTGGGGAAATATATCAAATACAGCTCAGAAATACATTTGCTAAATTTTATCGAGATCGGTTCAGATTTGGATATAGCTCCCATATATAACATCGTCCGATTTACCTTTTATTGTGCACCAAACGTCTAATATTTGTCCAAATGGGATGGAATTTGGCACTTACGACCGAATTGAGTCTAGTAGCTAGTATGTCAAATTTGGTTCAGATCGGTTCAGATATAGTTATAGCTTCCATATATATTATT